AATGTGGGGGGGTCCAAACGAAAAATTATGAAATTTGAGGGAGACACGTCCCCCTCAGATTTAATGGCGGCGACGCCCATGCATGTGCGTCTGTTACACTTGCTTATTTGTTAACTTTCCCCCGCATTATTGCGCCCCTAATTGTTCAATGTAAAACTAGGTATCGTCTATTCCATTACTGTTTTATCGTCATTTATTTGCCAAAAAGTACCGGTTGGCTAGCTACCCAGACACTGTAGGGTGTTTCTATTTTACATGCTCTCTTAAGCACTGCGTTTGTAAACACTCGAACTAAAACGTCCTCTTTCCCATTATTTAATCTCCACTCGACAGAATTACTTAGAATATAATCGAAACAAAGTAAAAACATTAGAAAAAAGCTCATATAGACCTCTTTTTTTTACCACTGCCACTATTTTTGTCCATAAACTGCAAGGTGTGAATGGAACATTGTCAAGTGATAGTTTTTGTTCGCCCAAGTTTTTTGGTTTTGTGAATAAAGAACACTAATTAATTTTAATCACTGGCCGTTTACGGACGTACAAACATCGATGTCAACATATTTTGAGAAGTGAATGATGCTATACGCATATTTCGCCGGGCTGCCACTAGAATAGAATAGAATAGAATAGAATAGAATAGAATAGAACCTTTATTGTTATTACACAAATAAAACTGTCACTGCACACGTACAACTCGATTTAGTTTCCGTACTCGATCGATGTTGTTAATAGTATAGCTACTAAACTAAAAGTAACCGCAAAGATGGAAATGGCAGTAATTATGAAACATTATACAAAAAACATTATTTGTAACTCGTTATATCGATCGGAAAATTATTTAAAAATGTATGCTATTTAACATTTTATTATTTTATGTTAATATTTTCAAACGATTTTTCCTTAAAAGCATGCTGAATGTGAAGAGAAAAACTGGAGGACCAGTGCTTGCTAAGTTTATTTTAAAAAGATGTAAAACGTTAATTTTGTTTAGAAACGATTCGTAGTGTTCAACAAAAGTTTGCAGTTACCGATAATGATTTTTATATAGACCTACACACACACATACATGCAGGTTCACGAAAGGTTTGTAATAGTGTTTCCCGAAAGTCTCGTGTATATAAAGATTAATATGCAGTATTGCCTGTGCAGTATTTGGCATTTCTGCTTTTGTAGGCCTGTCATTCTGGCTTTTTTTCTAGCTTGTCAGTATGCTCTTTTCACCTTTGTCTCTCATCTTCGTTTCACTCTCAAAATACATGCTTAATGAAAAACCAGCACAATATGTTTTAGCCTATGTAATGGTTTAAAAGTTCATGGTCACTTGTGGTCCATGCAGCAATGACTAATTAAAGATATAAGCTTTGATACTTTGTCTCTCACAACTTCAGATAATAGACCTATATCTTTGTGCTTTGGCCGTTCATTATAAAGCTGCAACTCTGTAGCAGTCATGTACTTTACTGTGATTGACTCCGAAACTCTGAGGACGATTTGAATAGCACTTAGTATTTCCAAAATATTTTGTGTTGGTGGGGCCCCAAAAATGTCTCAAACTCAGGGCCCCCACCTTGCTTAATTAAATCGGCCATGACTATAGGTCCTAATTAAACAGTTAGCACACAATACAGAATAAAGTCCAAACACAAAATACCTGACATAAATAAATTGTGCAATAATAAATCACATGTAGAAAAAAACAGTCAACACACATTTTGGTTATTTTTAATTTAGTAAATGTCTTTTTAACTGAAGAGGTGCAGTACTCTGAGACAATTTCTGTCTGTGAAGTGTCCTACAGCCCCCTTATCACGTGGTGTCCTCTGAACCCATCCATAACCTGTTCATTATGTATTATTCTCACACTTTCAATATTTATTGATATTAACTTTGTATTTTCCCTTCCATTTGGAAAGCAGCCTTGCACGATGTATGTCATCTGACCGCATTCTCCACGGTTTAAACCATTGCCCCTAGAGTTCAATAGAGTATTACCTTATCTTAAACCCCGTACAGGACAGTATTGTTAATTCATTGACTTCATCCAAAGCAGTGTACAATTGACCACGGAATTATCATGCTGCACCTTATCAAAATATTCATTCTATTCTTATAGTAAAGTTAAGAAGGCTTTATGATCTTACTATCCATTTACAGGTATACAGTAGCACGAAAGCTTTACTCTAGTTGCCTATACAGTACTTTTAAGACACTAGAAGTGTAAGGCAAGCATGAGGACTAGAATCTGGTATTTGTTGGGCGACGAGGCCGGGATCACCATCCTGCAGCCCTGAAATCCCAGATCTCACGCAGGTTCCGCGCAGCCCGGACGACAAGCAGCGTGACACCAGTGCGGCCGAACTTCCGGGAAACAGCACCGCAGCGGACGGAAAAATGGCGACGCTGTCTGTATGCCAGATCCCAAGCAGCGGTTTCAGTTTCGACTACTGCAAGCGGTGAGCGTTAAAAGTGAAAGAAAAAATATCTTCTCTGTCAGCGTGTCCGGGAAGCATTCGGGGCCATTGGCTGGCTGCTCCCGGCTCTCTCCTGGCTCTCTCCCGGCAGTTTTTGAGGCCGGTACTCGGGGGGCCTGTTCCATTGTAGGATGACTCAGGGAATCTGCCGCCTCTCTCATTCAGCCGGCCGGCCGGCGAAGCGCGGAAAGCTTTATCTTTAATGCAGGGACCGGGAACCGCCAGTCTGTTATGGGCATGGTGTTCATTACTTTTGTGTGTTAATCTCCATCTGAGGATTGGCGTATAGATACTCGGCAGAGCATGTAGCCCTCCCAGCTTCCCCCGACTCACGGGATGGCTCTCCATCGCCGTTGATAGCCTGGATCCAGGCTTTGATGGGGTTTAAATCAAGTTCAATGGCTGGTAGATCGTTTTCATACCTGGTGTGGAGGATAGAGGGGATCCGACCCGCAAGCAGGATGGAAACGGGCAGGGAAAATTCATATTCGTTTATTATTTATTTCGTGCCGCTCTTCATTTTATTCACCCTGTACCAGTTGTTCAATGAAATGTCCATGAATGCATATTTTAAAGGATTCGTTCCTGTTTCAGAAATGCCCTTTTAGAAGCGGAAATAACAAAGTTGGGATTCAATGCCCCAGCAGCCCGAAAAACAGGCACCACCATCTGCGGGCTGGTTTTTAAGGTAACTGGGCTCAGGGGGGATTTACTGCCATTGTACCAGGACGAAACTGAGGTTGTTCTTCCTTAAATATCTGTGTAACAGTCCATGATTCCTTTGTTACTATTCTATTCTGTATACTACTGTATACTAATGTAACTTAATTTGTCTGTGTGGGGAAATAGTCTTTTTGCTCATTCCATCTTGCTCTCCTTGAGACTCGCACACAAACATACAGAGCAAGCTTGGAGGATCAGATAAGGGGTGCAGTTCAGTGCTGGAAAGTCTCACACTCACTGTAACGGGACATTCCGCTTGGGTCTAGTCTATGACTTGCCTGGTTCTTGTTCCCCTTTTCTAGGATGGAGTCATTCTTGGGGCAGACACCCGTGCCACGGAGGGGATGGTTGTGGCTGATAAGAACTGTTCCAAGATACACTACATCTCCCCGAACATCTAGTGAGTCTGAGGGTGCTTTCTAAAGGGCATTAAGAGGGACGTCGGAGCCTCTGCCATCTACATGGTGCAGGAGCATGAAGTGAATAAACACCCAGAGTCATCTGGCTTTTCCATATAACTGGGAATCGAACCCACTGAACTCACAACTCGAATCCCTTAGTCTCGTCTCTGTCCTGTTCAGGGACATGGCTTTAGGGGGCTGTGGCAGCAATATCTGACCCATCTATCTCTCCCCCGCAGCTGCTGTGGTGCTGGTACGGCAGCCGACACGGAGATGACCACCCAAATCATCTCGTCCAACCTGGAGCTACACTCCCTGTCCACTGGACGGCTGCCCCGAGTGGCCACAGCCAACCGCATGCTCAAGCAGATGCTCTTCAGGTATGCGACTGTCTCCAGGCTGGTCTGTGGGTGTTCAGATGTCCATGGGATAGGGTTACAGCCCAAGTTGGGCCTGTATCACAGGGTCAGCTATCAGACAGCTTTAACTGGTCTCTCCTGGCGGTGGAAGCAATGTTATCTGCGCATATATGAGCGCATAGCAACATTTATTTTTGTATGTTTTAGGTTAAACATCTCTGTTCTTCAGTATGAGGGTGTAACGAGTAGGGATGCCCTGATTGCATTTTTCCTTGCTTCTGTTTGGTTACTTCAGAACGTTCTGAAGACACCACAGCTAAGGATGATGTGTTCGCATATATACACATAGCCAGACATTCCGTGTATTTGGGGCGCTAACGCTGCAGGTAGTTAAATAGATTGGTTGTGTTTCCACATGCAAAGTTTGCAAATTACAATTAATTGGTCCACGTTGGATTTCATGAATACAAATCCTTTCCACACAATTAAAGTAGATACCTCTGAAATGTGTGCTGTGGATACAGTTACGATAAAAATATCACCATGTAGTCCACAACTAGAAAAGTAATGCTAGTCTGTAAAATACCTGATCAGCTCGTAAACTTGGTCATATTTGGCTGACTGCTGAACAGGGCAAAAATTGGCCATTTGCAGTCGCTGGCCGATCGATCGGTGCGTCCTTAATGAGGAGGTTTCTAAGTGTGAGGCTTCTGGCAGGTTAGGTACTATTATTCAAACTGAAGCTGTATACTATTCTGTTCCTGCGTGTCTGTTTGCGCTGATTACCTCAAGTTGTCACCTAAACGTCTCCCCCATCTCTTCTGTCCCACACAGGTACCAGGGGTACATCGGCGCTGCCCTGGTCTTGGGGGGGGTGGACTGTATGGGACCTCATCTGTACAGTATCTACCCTCACGGGTCCACAGACAAGCTACCTTATGTGACCATGGGTGAGGTTCAGGGTGTCCCGCACGCCCCCGATAGATATACTGTACTGAGGGTAATCCTGCTATCATAGCAAATAGAAACCCAGAACAGGGATGGGATGGATGGGCAGGACTGCAGTCTTATGGCTACTGGGAGGGAGGCATTTTTATCACTGGGGCTTCTTGCTACGTGGCAGCTTGCGGTGCCACACAGATGGCCAGCTAGTAAATGGAACTGGTTACTATAGACTGGGAGTACATCCCCATTCGCCTGCTGTACACACCAAAAAGTTTGTCTTCCCGAAAAGATGATGCTGCATAGCTGCTAAGGCACTGGTGGGGGGGTGGGATCGTCCTTATTTTACTGGATCTGAGAGACTAGAAGTTGTAGCTGGGCTCTTGAAGGATGTGTGCAGTGGTGCTACCTCAGTATTGGCACCAGGGGGTGATATTGGACTTGCTCCCCCCTCTATATTACTATTATACAGGTATGTGTTTTAATGACTGTCTTCCTCAGGCTCTGGGTCCCTGGCTGCCATGGCGGTGTTTGAAGATCGCTACAAGCCGGATATGGAGGTGGGTGTCGTCTAAAGACCAATGTTTCTCCCTTAAAACCATCCTTACCACTAAGGGCCTTTAATCAAGCCTTATGTAATAGTCTCTCACTTTAATTAGCATTTTCCCACCCCCCCTGTGTAGAGGGGCTGACTTCTGGGGTCTCTCCATCCATCTTGTTACATCTCCAGCCAACCACTTCGCTATCTTTGGCAGTCTTATGCTTGATGTTGAAATCTGTTTCCATCGGCGACCAGTAGGGGGAGCTGTTGCCCTTACATTTAATGTTTCGTATTCATTCAAGGTTAAGGTTACTTTGTCATCAACGGCTTTATACATGTACAAAGTGTGACGAGACAACGTTTCCCCATGGCCCCGGTGCAACATCTAATAACACTGAACATCACATACAACAGGGCAAAAAGGTGCAAACAGGCAACACAATAAAGTGCAAAGGGTGCGATCACATTACAGTGCACAACAAGTTACAATGAATATACGAAACAATAAACACAAACACAAAACAATAAATGGACAGAACAGTACGCAACACTACACAACACTCCAGTATTTTTGAGTGGGGAGCCTTAGTGACTGAAATTGCACATGGTTACATTATATTATATTGCACAGTACTATTGCACTGGTTACTATATTGTACAGAGTAACCATGAAAATGCAGGTATGAGGTAATTCAGAAGAGCTATGATCTAAACTTAAAGTGCGTTCAGAGCCCTGATGACTTGTGTAATGAAGCTGTTACAGTCTCGTGGAGGCAGAATGGAAGCTACGATACCGTTTGCCAGATGGTAAGAGTGAAAAGCGTCCATGTAATGGATGGTAGTGATCCTTCACTATGTTACTGGCTCAGTTGCAGCAGCGGGTCTTGAAAATGTCTTTCAAGTGAGGTAGGGGCACCGATAACCTTCTCAGCTGCTTTCACTATACGCTGCAGATAGTTCCGGTCCAAAGCCTTGCAGTTCCCGTACCAGACCGTGATGCAGCTGGAGAGAAGGCTTTCGATGGTGCTGGTGTAGAATGTCTTGAGGATCTGTGGTGTTAGGGGCAGCCTTTTCAGTCTTAGAAAGTGCAGCCGCTGACGAGCCTCTTAGCTTTAGAGGAGGAGTCGAGGGACCAAGAGAGGTCCTCTGATATGGACGCCCAGGAACTTGGTGTTTTGCACCCTCTTGACAACAGCGCAGTCGATTGTTCATTCATTTACTCAATATGGTTGTGATGCGATTTTGTGTCGCCCCCCCCCCCCCCCAGGAAGAGGTAGCAAAGCAGCTGGTTCGGGACGCCATTGCGGCTGGCATCTTTAATGACTTGGGCTCAGGCAGCAACATCGACCTGTGCGTCATCACCAAGTCCAAGGTGGACTACCTGCGGCCCCACGACGAGGCCAACAAGAAGGGAGTCAGGTGAGGGGCGCTGCCGGCTCTGTGTCCTCAGTGCCGCCCTCTCACTGCCCTCGCTCTCAGTGCCGCCCTCTCACTGCCCTCGCTCTCAGTGCCGCCCTCTCACTGCCCTCGCTCTCAGTGCCCCCTACTGTCACTACCACCATGTCACTGTCACCTCGCTGCCACTGCCCCCCTCCCCATCACTGCCCTTGCTGTCAGTGTTACTGCTGCCATGTGACTTGCCCCTGTCTCTGCATTACTGTCGCTCAAAGATTCAGTGCTCTCACTAACCAACATGCCCGTTTCATTTGAAGAATCGCTGGATTCTTAGCCCAGCCCGTGTGAGTGAGAAGCCTGTTCTGGTTTGCAGTGCCAGACGCCTTTCGCTATGCTGCTGTGTCTGCCATCCTCTGGTCCACTTAGCCCTCCACCTTACGGGCTGAGCTCAGACCGTAATGGTGCTGAAAGCCTCACAGGCCCAGCACTGTTTGGCCAATTTGCGCTTGCTGTCTGCTATGTGCTGTTTGATTGATTGCTTACTGCTGAACTGATCCAGTAACTCTGGTCAGTGTGTAGCTGACTAAAAGTCGCCAGTTTTAAGCTGTCCTCACACACTGCGTCTGCGTTTGCCGTGCCCTTCTGTGCGATGGCTGCCATTGCTGCTCATGCAGCTGTTCACTCCCGATTTGACATGTTTTCCATCAGGGCTGGAAGTTACCGCTACAAACACGGCACGACTGGCGTTCTCACCAAGACCGTGGTGCCCCTGGACCTGGAGGTGTTGGAGGAGACGGTACAGACCATGGATACGTCCTGAGAGCACCCCCCCCCGCCCCGCCCCATCTCCCTACCCTCCACTGCGCAGGCAGCCTGCTTGTCTCCCTGGTTTACAATAAAATGTATGTAACGGTCTGAGTTGTGTTGTTGGAGTGCTCTCGAAACCAGCTGTAGACACACTTCGGCGTTCCTGACTCTGGCATGTGGAGAGGCTACCCTGTGGCTTGGCTGGGTGTCAGACCCACGTTTGAGTTTGTAATGTGTAAATTATTGCACGGAAGGCAGTGGACCGTGAACCAATGAGAGTAGAGATTACAGTCACAAATTTTATTCAGTTTACAGGCAATGTAACATGAATAGCACACAGTGTAAAGTCATTTACAAAAAGCTTCTGGATTTCTAAATAATAATGGTCAGAGGAACAAGTTAAAGAAGAAATTCAGAAAGTGTTTTCGGTGTATTTTGTGAATATTAGTATATCTGAGTGGACAGTCAATACTGACTTTTGTCCTTGATGAATAAGGCTTAAAATATCGTAATTTACCATCTTTACAAATGTAAGCAAGTTCATTACACACGGGCATTTGGCAATGCCTTATTTCCAGCAGAGGGTACAGTATCACAGATAAGGAAAGTATGATGAAGGAGCAAAGGTCACTGAGGGTTAAGCTAGAGTCAGCAGAGACGGCACAGAGTGCCCTGCATCATGGTCCTCACCGCGACACTCGAGCCAGGAGCACACGATATGAGGTCTGTATCTAGATCGGGCCCAGAGTTTCAACACAAGCCTCCTTTCAAAGCCTTTCATTTCACAGTATAAAAAGTCTTTGGCTCAGCAATGCTGTCTGCATTTTAAGGATGGATGGATGGATGGATGGAGAGAGAGAGAGCAGCCATAACACATCATGACATGCTGGCTGAACAGAGACTAGCACAGTCATAAACGGACAACTGTAAAATGGGGAATCAGTCACACCATCTGACCCCCTCTACAAATGTAAGGAGTGGGTGGATGGGAACAGCGCCTCCATCAGGCTGACATGTCTCAGGTATAGAACATGGGGTGCATGTTGATTTGTAAGAGCTTCTGCCTATAGCTGTTTGCCGAAGTTTGACATGGTGCTGAACCCGGCCTCAGAAACACTGTCCCCTATGCCTGGGGACAAAAACACTTCCACCCCCTGATGTCTTCAGGGATGCCCCAAGCTGATCCTGCCTGCATTCAAACCCAAGCTCAAGGCTCATTCTGCTAGCGCAGCCCCAGTGGAACCCGGGGGGGGGTGGCTACTGATGTCACATGATCATAACCTTCCATCTTCAGCCAGCCAATAAGGACAGACCTCCCAGTCCTCCCAAATATTACGGCATTGGATCTAGTTTTTTTGGTAAAAAATAAGAACTAAAATAAAATTAATAGCTATAGAATACATTGTAAATTATTTTGAAAAAAACCCTCCATCCCTTGCAGACCCCCGGGTGTCCTGTGGGGGGCACTCATGAGGTGGCTGCCCTTAGCTGCATCTGTTTGGCAACCTGCAGTATGAAGATGACATCGGGGCGTTTCTCCGGCGTGGGGGTGATGCACATGCTCACCAGGTCCCGCAGCTGTGGGGGGGAGGTTGCATGGGTAACATACACCTTAATTATCTCGTAAAAATCTGTACTGCAATATCTGCAACTTTTATTTTTTATTATTGTGAAATATAAGTCAAAGCATCTGGGAGTCTTAAAAAGCAAATTTACATGAACATGTTATTAACTGCACATATATTTGTGGCCAGTAGGTGGAGCCACACAATCTTTATTCCTGATGTAAGTTACGCGTGCAGAAGTTAACCTATAGGTTACAGCGAAGGCACAGGGAGCTAATGAGCATGCTGGAACAGGGAGTGAGAGGCACCTCAGGCTGGGGTTTTACTCGCTTTCGAATGTAAGCCACTGCTATGACGTCTGGGCCTGTCCTAATGCAGCCTGGCACCCCGCAAAAACCTGGCCTTTTCAGGGTACGGTGGGGCGGCGAGGGATGGCGGCTCTACCTGGTCGGAGTAGCCTTCGGACGGGAGAGGTGGGTAGTCACATTTCTCAATCTTACAGCACAGAGAGTATAGGTTCATCTTGTCTCCATAGAACGGGTTCTGGAGGGCGGCCATCTTTTTTTGGGGGGGGGGGGGGCAGAGAGAGACCCAATAAGCTGTAGGCAGAGGGAGCGGGTAGACATGCTGGAACAGTGTCAAATGACCCCAGGTCATCAAACATGCCTGTGGTCCTTAAGGGGTGAGAGGGAATGATGGTCGTGCCGATCTGTCTTTAGTGAGACACGCAGAGCTTTAACCATCTGCTCGTCCCATTAAAACAGTGTCTGTAAGTCACTTCTGCCTATATAAATACGGTATTAATCATAGACACCCCTCACCTGACCAGGATAAGCATTGGGTGGAGGATAACAGAAATAACTGAGTTATGGTGAAACATGCATATTTTCAGGCAGAAACACTTGTAAAATAGTGATGCAACATATTGTGAGATTTTTAATACACGTGAGAACAAAAACACGTTATGAGAGTGTGACAGATCGCCCAAGGTCAGGGTGTGTGTGTGTGTGTGTACGGTGAACGTAAATAGATTACCTCATACAGCAGGCATCCCAGGGACCAGATGTCAGACTTGAAGTTGTAACCGTCCTCATGGATCCTTTCTGGGGACATGTAGTATGGCGTTCCCACTGCAGGTAGAGGTGCAACCAGTTAAACAGGAACGTGGAAACCAGACGTTTCAGGGCCAGAACTCCGGGGCGGGAATCCTGCTACATTCTTGTGCTTAGCGTGGCAGGCTCCCACAGAATGTGTGTTTGGATAACGTACTGTGGCACTGCCTAATCCAGTGAACAGAGCTCAGGAGTATTTCGCAGAACATAGGACTGTTAGCAGGAGAACCCAAAATAGTGAGTGTGGGGGGGGGGGGTTCTACAGCCCCACATGGCCCCCACCTCAAGTCCAACCCACTAATACATCTGAGATGTTATTCATATGGAGGGTCGGCTCCCATAGCCCAGACACAGCTAGCCGTAATCGCAGTATATCAGCATTTCCCGAACATTCGATTAAAATCCTAGGCTCACCTACGTGAGGAGTACACTGCAGTTGGTAACAGTTTGGGATCACCCACCTAAGGAGTGCGCTGCCATGGTAACGGCCCAGGCTCACCCACCTAAGGAGTGCGCTGCCATGGTAACGGCCCAGGCTCACCCACCTAAGGAGTGAGCTGCCATGGTAACGGCCCAGGCTCACTCACCTAAGGAGTGCGCTGCCATGGTAAAGGTCCAGGCTCACTCACCTAAGGAGTGCGCTGCCATGGTAAAGGTCCAGGCTCACCCACCTAAGGAGTGCGCTGCCGTGGTCTTGGAGCTGAAGAAGCGGCCCAGGCCCAGGTCCCCCAGTTTGAGCACCCCCGTGGCTGTGATGAACACGTTAGCCGGCTTGATGTCTGTGGGGGAGGGAAGGGTGTCCCATTACTCTGCCTTCAGGCTGTCCCACTCCGCAGGGATGTCCCAGTACATCTATGCCCCACCCTCATCTCATCTCCTTAACGTTCTTAAATAACACAAGTGAAAGGTCAGTACACGTGATTGTATTTTATCAAACATTTCTCTGCCCGGGGGTTGTCTGGCACTTCAATGGGCAGTATTGTTGTCTGATACGTCTAAGGTTGGAGGTTCGATTCGAATCACATCTTTGTACTATGAAGCTTGTGAAATGCTGAGCCAAGTCAGGTGAGCTTATGATTCCAAATTCTGAGACCAGCTTTTCCGTGATGACACGCTGGAGCCATTGTTTTTTGTGGTGGAAACGCGTACATCCAGTTTCAGACTGGGAAAAAGCCCGGCACCGGCTCCAGTATGGGACATCAGTGACCATACTGGGGGAGGGGCTATATGTATTTCAATGTGGGTGGAGGGGAAATGAAACGAACCTCTATGCATGACCCTGCGTGAGTGCATGTGCTCCACGGCACTGCAGAGCTGTCCAAAGTACTTCCAGATTGTTCTCTCAGGGATGAGGCGTCGGTTCTTCTTAAAGAACTGTGGGATGGGGGTGTGGGGTAAAAGATAAGCACAATGGACTCCTGCTTCCATCCCCTGCCCATCACTAAAATAGAGATCCCTTTACTTCAGAGTCAGCCTCGAACCCTGGATGTTTTGTCATTAGGAGATACTGCCCAGGAAGCTGTACCCACAGCCCACCCATCTTGTGATGGTCCCACCCACCAAACACAGGCACTGCTCATTGCCACACCTTGATCATCTGTGACAGATCTCCTGCGTCAGCCAGCTCCAGCACGATGTTTAGCTGGTTCTCCTCGATGAAGGAGTCCAGGTACTTGATCACGTTGGGGTGGTTCAGTTGCTGCATCACACACACACACACACAGTAATTCTTACACCTGTGCTATTAAGCAGTCGCAACTGCTGGGTCTGGACAAGTGGAGACACAGGCATGTGTGTCTAGCCAATCATCTGCCTAGCTAAAGAGCCACAACTGCATGTGGGCGGGGCCGTAGGCATGGTCCCATTGCTGTATAACAGACACAGGAATGACTGAGCATAAGTTTGTTAGATCTTTTGCATTTGGCCTTTCAGAAGAAGCCAGGTCATGTGTTGAGGTATGCCAAGCTGTGCTGAGAGATGCAGCCTGTGTTGAGTGATCGGGCCTGAGTTGAGTGAACCGGCCTGACTTGAGTGAACCGGCCTGTGTTGAGTGATCGGGCCTGAGTTGAGTGAACCGGCCTGTGTTGAGTGAACCGGCCTGAGTTGATGGAAGCCAGGCAGTGCTGAGGAATCCCTATGTGTAGAGATGCTGGCTGCATTTAAACCCTCTAGCCTGGCTGTAGGGATATGGTGTGCAGTGGGTTACGGGTTTGGTGTGGGCAGCCCCTGGTCCCCATAAGGGAAAAGTATTTTGTTTGGTTACTTATGGTTATGGTTAGAGCTGGGTAGGTGTTAAGGTTGTCATAGTTAGCGTTAGCATTTTCCCCATAGAAATGAATGAGTGGTCCCCATAAAGATATGTTTACCCGACATATGTGAGTGTGTGTGTGTGTCTGTGTGTGTGTCTGTGTGCATTCATGAGCTCCTGTATTTGTGTCTGCAGGCATTTTTATGAATCCAATGCGGTAAATGCCATCCACTGCAGCTGCAGCTGACAGACGGGAAGGTTGTGTGTTTCAAAGGCTCGTCAAACCAACCCTGACAAGCAAAAACAGCACCTTCAGGAACCCAGTCACCTAGCCAGGGGAAGGACCCTACTCTGCACCTCCACAGCCCATGTCATATAGCCTCTACATCTATGGATCCCAAAAGATCCAGTCAGAGCAAGGACCCTCCTCTGCACCCCCTGATCCCTACCTTTAACAGGTCAATTTCATTAATACAGTCCTGCCTTGCCTTGGCATCCATCATTTCAAAAATCTGCAGAAAGAGATTGAGGAGAATGTGCAATCAAGTAATTAAGATGCAACTCATATTACACAATTATTGTGTCATTTTAGGCTTAACACTCCTACAGACACACACAAAAATAAACTTCACCCCATCTTACTCAGCCAATGAGTCACCTTCCCATTACGCTTTACTGGTTTTGTACGTTTGATGAAGGGCAACTGTCCAAATCCAATGATTTGGCAGAAAGCAGCTTGTCCTGCCCTCATGCCCCGCCCATCTACCCGCCGCCCCCCTCTTTGTCTTGCACTTACCTGTACTTTCTTCAGTGCCACCTGCTGTCCATTCTGGAGGTAAGTTGCTTTGTAGACTTCACTGAAGTGACCCCTGCCGATCTTCTTCTCAATGCGGAAGTTTGCCAGTGTGCAGTGGTACTGATATGTGGGATTCTTCCTCTGTGTGGGACACAGAACATCCCCAAAACGTCTCAACACAGCACACTCAACACAGCAGGTTTAACAGCAAACTATCTGCTCAGATACAAACAGCAAAGTCCAGGGCCTGTTACTGCACATAATTCTGCCTCCTGTTGGTGACATGAACTCAGAAAGTGCACTTTTAAAGCAGAGGAACCGTAGTGTGGAGACATGGCTTGGGTCCGGCGTGAACAGCTGTCACTAAGCCCTCAGCCTGCTGCATGTCATGCAAGATCAGACCCTCAGCAGGGGGAGTCAAGGGACCAGGTTGAGCAGCCCCCCCTTCACATATCACACGTCTGCTGCACTGCTGACAGACACACTGGGCACTGCTTATGGGTCTAAGGGATGCTTTACATATTGACAGCTTACTTTATGTGATTCAGCAATGTCTCCCACACACACACACACACACACACATACATAAGTGCACACACACACAGGTTTGTAGTTATTCCTTTGTGGGGACTCTATTCATTTCTATGGGGAAAACTCTAGTCACAACATGAGGACCTTAACCCCTACCCAGCCCTAACCTTAACCATAAGTAACCAAACAAAATGCAAGACTTTTGGCATTATTACGTTTTTCACTGCATTCAGAGATCATTGTGAGAACCTGAAAAATGGTCCCCACAACATCAAAATAAAAGCAAAAATACCGTCAAAAAAATGTGGTCCCCACAATTTAATATAAACCATACACACACACACACACACACACACTATGTGTATATAATCATACACTCTGCTGAGAAAACTGAAGTGTAACCCTGACTCACTAACCCAATGGCTTAACAGGACTGGGTCTCAGTGGTTCTGGTGCCATAGCGGTTCTTACCTGGTCCTCGTGCCTCTGCATCTTACACGACTTGTTCTGCTCTGCGGTTTGCTGCTGCCCATAGCTTTTCTGTCCCTCCATTTTGACATCACAGGTTTGTAACTATATCTTTGTGGGGACTCTTTGCTTTTTGCTCTCCTTGGGACAGGCAGAGAAAAACAGTTCAGGTGACCAAATGTTAATCATATGACCAAATATGCATCATGCACCTTACCTGATAAAACACACATCCAAGTCAAATAAAGTGTATGGTGATATGCCTTTTATATGTAATCAGGATAATGGAGGCGGGGCTTATGTGCCTCCTTGCATAACAGGATGTCTGACCCCACGAAACAGGGGCGACGCTATGAGTCCTGGACTCCCTGACAAAAGCCCACCCTGGGTCTCTGCTGGCACATTTCAGGGCCCCTGAATCATTCTGGCTTTATACTCCACCACTGTCACATTACTACTGTACCCTAGAACAGTGTTTCCCCATCCGGTCCTCGGGGATCAGCAAACAGATGTGTGGGAGGGAGCTGGGACACAGCAAAAACGTGGACTGTCTGTGGGTCCTCAAGGACCGGGTTGGGAATCACTGCCCTAGTATAACATGTTAGCTTCAACTGGCACCTCGCAGTACACAGTCTATTCTAAAACTTTAGTAACTTAAGAGTAATAATTACAATGATAACACTAATGCTATCTCAAGACACTCAGGAAGATTTGTTCCATACTGGACAATACATCACACCCCCTGCCTCACACCCCCTGCCTCACACCCCCTGCATCACACCCCCTGCCTCACACCCCTTGCATCACACCCCCTGCCTCACACCCCCTGCCTCACACCCCCTGCATCACACCCCCTGCCTCACACCCCTTGCTTCACACCCCCTGCCTCACACCCCCGTGCCTCACACCCCCTGCTTCATACCCTGGTGAAACAGAGAAGCTCATTCAGCAACAGACTCACTCAACTGTGCCACTCCAGAGAGTGTGTTTTTTTAACTGGGAGATTGGCTGACTACTCTGTCCAAACTGGGGGGAGTCAGTGGTGAGTAACTGGGAAATCGGCATCTGTAAATGGAGCAGGGTAGCGAACGCCTGTCCTACCCCCACTGGCAGGCTGGAGGTGCAGCAGAGCCTGGGCACAGGCTCACACCCTGCCAGTGCTGATCTCAGTGGCTCATTCAACAGCCCACAGCATTCTGGGGGGGGGGACAATTCCACCTCAAACTGGCTGGATCATGGAGCTGCTCCTGAGGGCCACAGTTGAACAATGATGGTGACGCTGAACATTTGACAAGTGACAGGCAGGAATGTGGACTGGGCGGGGGGGGGGGGTGGTATAGCACGTGTTTGGCAGCGGTGGCCCGTGTAAATAGAATCTTCTATTCCCAGGAAAGCAAAAACCATGCCAGTGAGACGCCTCCAGCCTCACATCAGACCGGTTTCAGCCTGTTTGCATGCACACACAACGCATAACAACCCACCTCCACGCAGAACCTGCAGTAAATCCACTGGGGGCAGAGTCAGAAAGTCCCAAAGTGGCCCCCCGCCCCGGGCAGGTGAGCTGAGGAAGCTATCAGACCAGCTGAGCTACTCTATCCGGGAATGGTTCAGCTTTTTATCAACAGAAACATGATGTTGTATGAAGAAGCCACGGGAACCAGGAAGCATCTCAGCAAGCAAATAAAAATGTGAAAAGGGGAATCTAGGGAAAAGGTCTCTGTGTTTCAGGGGTGACAACAATTAAATTTACAAAGCATGGAAAAACCTGTGATCACACCCAGCTGGGCCTACTCTCTGCTAAACATGCTGGTCACTGCATCAGCTTCCTGTGATCACACCCAGCTGGGTCTACTCTCTGCCAAACATGCTGGTCACTGCATCAGCTTCCTGTGATCACACCCAGCTGGGCCTACTCTCTGCCAAACCTGCAGGTCACTGCATCAGCTTCCTGTGATCACACCCAGCTGGGCCTACTCTCTGCCAAACTTGCTGGTCACTGCATCAGCTTCCTGTGATCACACACCCCAGGGGAATGTCACGCACACAGACACACACAAGTTGATTCCTGTCCTGGCCACTCCACCTGTATGCCCACAAACACAGGGCGTGGCCAACCTGCTTGAATAGAGAACATGTTGGGGGGCGCTTCTGGTCTGCATATGCTATCATCGGATTCTGAGTGTCCACTTCTGGAATGTGCCGGAAGCACCTTTCTTGTCACGCCAATTTCATGCAGGTTCTGTTACGACACAATAAACCTGGTGAACTGTCTGCTGATGCCACTCCTACTTTGTCTGACCAAATGGGAGCCAACCAGTGGTTAACAGGAGTGCCTTTTCTTGGGAAGTCATGAGTAGTGACCTTTGACTCCAAGCACAGGCTCTTGACCTTTCTGACAAAAAGACTTAGCAGTGTTTGACAGATTCCTATTTTGACAGTGTTTTGTAAGCTCAGAAGTCACATTCTGAGCAAACTGCTCATTTACATACAGAGGCATGATGCTCACGTCAGAAGGATGATGCCCACTCATCACCTGCTAGCTACTCAACATCACCTGCTAGCTACTCAACATCACCTGCTAGCTACTCAACATCACCTGCTACCTACTCAACATCATCTGCTAGCCACTCAACATCATCTGCTAGCCCCTCAACATCATCTGCTAGCCACTCAACATCATCTGCTAGCTACTCAACATCATCTGCTAGCTACTCAACATCACCTGCTAGCCCCTCAACATCATCTGCTAGCTACTCAACATCATCTGCTAGCTACTCAACATCACCTGCTAGCCCCTCAACATCACCTGCTAGCTACTCAACATCACCTGCTAACCCCTCAACTTCATCTGCTAGCTACTCAACATCATCTGCTAGCTACTCAACATCATCTGCTACCTGCTCAACATCACCTGCTAGCCCCTCAACATCATCTGCTAGCTACTCAACATCACCTGCTAGCCCCTCAACATCACCTGCTAGCCCCTCAACATCATCTGCTAGCTACTCAACATCATCTGTTATCCTGCTCAACATCAACGAGGACCTAAATCCCCTTCTACATCTGGACCAAGGGGCTCCCTCTCATGTATTCCTAGGGTAACATGTTTTCCTACACCAATGCCCTGCTACAGGTAAACCAAATGCACAGTTGTGGTGGTCAGGCCAACAGTTGCAGGTTCGAACTGGAGGGCCTGGTTGTTGTACCTTTGTGTCAAGCCTGAGCTCCTTCAGTTAAACCTTGATGAACAGTGGAATGTGGGTAAATGAACAGGTGCTCCACATAAGCAGTGGTGTTCTGATGTTAGGATGAGAGGCAGCAGCGTCTATGTGTGTGTATGGTGGTGAGAATGAGTGCAGGCAACCACCCCCAACCCAGGTATCACATAAATAATGTTAGAGGGCACCCATCTCTGAATGTCCCAACCATGCGGACCAACTACCCCCACCCCCAATCAGTGACAATCAGACAGAACGCGGGTTTGTCACACAGCATGGGGACGCAGAGGCTTTATGCTGATGTCATTTCTTCATACGAAGTGTGGAAGCTGTAACATCAGAAAAACACATTCTGTCTGATGCTATAGCTATCTTACTGAGCCCAGTTTACAGCCTAGTTATGAGCCTGAAGACCTGAGCACAGTTTACAGCCTGAGCAGGAACATGTAGACCTGAGCACGGTTTACAGCATGAGCATGAAGACCTGAGCACAGTTTATAGCCTGAGCCTGAAGACCTGAGGATAGTTTACAGCCTGAGCAGGAACATGCAGACCTGAGCACAATTTACAGCCTGAGCTTGAGCATGTAGACTGGAGCACAGCATACAGTCTGAGCATGTAGACCTGAGCACAGTTTACAGTCTGAACATGTAAACCTGAGCACAATTTACAGCCTGAGCTTGAGCATGTAGACTGGAGCACAGCATACAGTCTGAGCATGTAGACCTGAGCACAGTTTACAGCCTGAGCTTGAGCATGTAGATCTGAGCCCGATTTACAGTTTTAATATGAGAAAGACTGCTAGTACAAGGGGTGAATTCAACTCTTAACTGCTTCTTTAGGCGGAGTGTAGTGTTATAACTATGATATAATTAAGGCGTTTAAGGGCGTTTTAAAACGTTTTTATCTATCTTTATTAAAGATTATATAGGCCTACATGTTGTACAACAGAAAAACTGTATATTATGTAAATAAAATTCAAAGCTCGGTTTTTTATATACAGTAAAAATTATATTAATAAATGTAACATTTCTGCATACTGACAGTGGAACATATACCGTCCTACTGCTGTTGACCAGTAAGGTCTGAAAGCGTGTTTCTCTAAACTACCGATTTAAGACCGGAGCTGACCCTCTTCACTAGCGACAGCTTTCGGATTAGTATAGAGTAAACAGCGGCCATATAAAACAGTTTCTTTATACATATTTATATACAGTATAGCGCAGGGCTGCCCCAAAGTGTAGTTCCGAAGCCGTAAACAAACCGGGTAAGAGACAAAGCGATCAGAGCAAACCTGGTTAATCTTACCTGAAAAAGCGACGGGCTGTACAGCCGGCCTGATTAAGGAAAAGGTAAAAATGGAAACTGCATGAAGCCGCGTTGTGCAACTTCTTTGTACACGGAAGCCCATTAATAGGTACGCGCGCCCTCTCTCTATGCTGTCACTCACTTAAACATTGTCATTGCTATACTGGCACGTCCCACCTGTATTTTTCCCCAAAATTTAAGCACATAAATGAATCAGTAACAAGAGAGAATTGTATAAATTTATAAAATAATCTAGACTCTCGAGATACTGGAAGTGTAGCAAATATATTGATTGAAGGTTGCATTTCATACATGCACGTTCACGATAATTACTGAAATACTTTATTAATAAATGAAAGAATGTTATCCGCTTACTGAACCCTTATTAAAACGCGCGAATGGAGGCAAAATTGGTCAGCAGTCCGTGCGAACAGCTCCGCTCCCTCTCATTACGTAGGGTGTCAAACTGATCTACTGTGTATCGCACGGTGGATTACATATAAATCGGCTTGGACTACAGAATACGATGGACTACCTAGCTGCCGCCATATTAGCGATCATAAGCAATGTAACATATTATTAGTGGGTGATTTTTCACGAATCGTGGTTTGATGGTTAATTTTTCCTCATCGCTTTGAAAGGCTCCCTTTTAAACTGGTATTGCAATCTGAATGCTTCTGCATAGATATAATTAATTCATTTTATTAATATCAGTTGAATTAAGGCACATACGTGCGTCTCCTTTCGTGATGGACAAAGTAAGATAATCAATTTTCATACTTAAGTAGAAGTACAGATGTCATACCAAATAATCGATAGCCCTAACCATCCCCAAAAAAAACCCCAAAAAATCCTTACCCTAACCCTAACCACCCCAAAACAAAACCATAATCCTAAAACGGTGGAACTGCACATGCGCAGAAAGGCTCGATATCACGTCTCGGTAGGTAGCTCGACTCGTCAGAAGTCAGAACACCGGCACAGATTACCGACATGATTTTCTAATTCAGATCTACAGGCAAGATGTAATAATTGTATTATAAAAATTGTATAAACTGGTACTTTGCGCTATTTTGTATCTGGTGAATGAGCCGATTCGCCCTCTACTAAGGAAAACGGCTGATCGTCCAAAGTAACTCTTATTTCAGTTGGAGGCCTAGGCTAGCTCTAGTACTGCTAACTTTGAATATTAATAAAAAATAAAATATCGGACGTTTTCGGTATGTAACTGATATAGTGTGCATATCTATTTATTCTGAGTGTAAATTAAATCGTGATTCATATTTTACCCAGAATCATGCAGCCATTCTCAGGCGCGTTGGGTGACTTACGATGGTCGTGCAAAATGTATCGGAGTAAAAAGTCGTTATTTGGTTAAAAAATGCAGTAAGTGAAAGTAAAAGTTGCAGCAACTCAAGTGAAATACTCAAGTAATGCTCAAGTAAAGTACAAATCCGGAAAAGCTGCTTAAGTAGCCGCCAGTAACAAAGTATTTGTACTTAGTTACTTTACACCTCTAATTTCCTTCCATATTGACACCCCACAATATTTTCCGTTCTTACTAGGTTTGGCGCCTTGATGGTATCTCATTTTGGGAGAAAGGCAACGTGGTACTGCTTGTGAGAAACTGTGTGAATTTTTAAGTCACTTGTTTTCGCATCCCCGCCCACGTAAATCTTATTACTCCAGGTTCACCTCACCCTCGTACTGCAGCGGTGAAATTGTTGTGAAACATTCCTGTAAAAATATTAGTGAAGCGCCTAAATGCTTCCCTGGCCGAAGGAGCGCAAAGGAGAACTGGCAGGCTTCACTTAGATCAGGCGTGTAGGTGCATGCATGCTCTCCAGTGCGCCCTGATCAGAATTGTGTGGTGAACCGGAGACCCTCACGAAAGCGGCAAACTCTCTAGCCTGTTGTGGCTGATGACGATCCTTCTCCAGACAAGAAGGAAGACCTGCTGGAGACTGCATCCGCATTGCACTCTGTCATTACGCACATACAAGCGGAAATAAAAACACACCTCTCCTTCCAGGGAATAACTCCAGTATTACAAAATCCCTTTTACGACGTCATACTTGTAATCAGGACATTATGTCCTTTGTACGTAGCACCGAACAAACCGTAATGAAAAATCATTGTATTTGTGTAATAATTGGTGAGTTAAGTTACAACCGGCTATTTGCTGCAGTAGTCGGAATTTTGTAAATTACATTTTTCATAACTCCATTTCTCATTAGTGTGCATTTCTGTACCAATTAAGTTAACCAATCATACATCTGTCAACATCATTATTTTGGAAACAGCAGCAGAGCCCCCAATCCTGTGCATCTGGCACCCCCAGCGCAGCAGCGTCTAAAGCCTCGTGCATGCCTCGGTTCCGCAAGCGGCAACACGTCGTTGAAAGGGGTGGTGGGTATTAAGTACCAATGGCTTCCTCGGAACCGAAAATAAAAGTCATCCTTGGCCACCAGTGTGCACTTTCCTTCTGATATGCAGATTTCCCTGGATGCTTTTCCAAAGATTAAGATTTTGTTTTTCCCAAAGTTGCTTATACTTAACTTTCCCATAGGATTTTTCACGTGCAGTAGTTCAGTTAAGACCCAAACTGATCAACCCGGAGGGGATGAACCTGCGCATGAACATGTCAGAACAGCACGTAGTAGATTAAAGAATCAGCAAATGTTACATACTTGCAACCAGTTTAAACCAGATGCACATTTTATTTTATAATTACTTTAAATTATAACTATAGGCCTATATAGGTATATACAGATAGGCCTATTGTCCTTTAGACGATATTCTTCCTATTAAAAGTTTTTTAATGACATGTTTAATCTGCTGCATGGCACATTCTTTAACTTTAATTAATGGGTGTGTAAAGAATAGGATACAGTTGAGACACCAGCGCTGCTCTGTCGCCTCACATCATCCGAGGTTCAGGGTTAAACCCGACCAAAGATCAGTGTCCAGCGGTCGACTCCTGAACTTCGGTGCTCCCATATATGCTCGTGGAATGAGAACTGAGTGAGCAACGGGCAACTTTTTCCATCCTCCAGAGGCTGGTTATTGACAGCTGACTGCTGAAATCCAGCCTGGTACACTGTGAAGAACAAAAAGTTCAGACAGCCTAAAATTTCAACTTACTGCACTAGATTTTTGAGGACTCAAACTTTTAAGTTTTGAAGAAAACCGCCTATTGTTGTGACAACTAATTTTTTTTTATTCAGGTAATCTATCTTTTATATCTATAAAAACTCATTTCTAGTTTTACATACTAAGAATTCGGCCTGCCCAGGGTGTACCCTGCCTCTCGCCCGGAGATGCTGGGATTGGCTCCAGCTTCCCCGTGACCCAGATGGGTAAAGTAGCATAGATAATGGATGGATGGACATACTAAGAATTACAAACGTCAAAAGTTGTGCCAACTTATTCTTTTTTGTTCAGATTTATCTTTCATATGTGTAAGAACTTCAAAATTTGCTCTCATAAATGTCTGTCTGGGCTGGGCCAAGCTTGTGATTGGCTGGAGCCTCTCTACACCCTGCTGTCATGAAAGTCTGTCTGGGCTGGGCCAAGCTTGTGATTGGCTGGAGGCTGGCTGCACCCTGCTGTCATATAGACGCATGTGAAATGTGTGTGTGTGTACACTGACAGTGACATGCTTGATCACTGTGACGGAATGGCCACTCTCGCACAAACCACACCAGTGGGTGTGTGGTCACTCCCCTGTCAGAACTGGGGCCAAAAGTCTCTGAACCCCCCAAATCCCAGCATGCCCTGTGCTCCGTGACTGAGGATTGTGGGATTGAGAATGGTGCTGCAGACCTGCGTGTCAATGTGGCTTTTTTATCCCCTGACAGCAAGCCTCGTCCCACAGCCCCCGTCAGCCCTGACAGCGTACTGGGGGGCTAACACCCCTCTGTGATGGTTGCCATGGCGCTGCTGCCCCGGGGGCCCCTCTGCTTCTAAGGGATGGGGGTGCTGTATCCCACCCCTTGCCCACTCTGCTCAGTGACGCACTCTCATATCATCAGTCAGGCGCCTCCTACAACCTGAAATCCACTAAGAATTACACTGACAAACAGTCAGCTTCAGGTTCTACATGGAGCCTGAGACTGATCATCATCACTGGGGCTCCTTAGAAAGACACAGACTCCTAAGTTCACATTTTACTTTCACACACCATTCATTTATTCATACACAACCCACTGTGCGATATTAGTTATTTCTATATATGTACTATGCAATTCCCTTGTGACTCTATCTGTCAGAGAGAATAAGCCAGTGATGTGTCCCCTTTAACACACTGGTTTTATACTCACTCGTTGAAGATTATTAGCTCTGATTTTTAAGCCTGTTAACATAGCTGGATGTCATATCGCACTAGTTCAGATACAACAGCACGTCCTTAATCCCTGAGCCCCCTGCTGGCTGATATCTGTAAAGCTTCATCATGACACTTTATATACTTGGACATTGTTTCATGGTGGTTCAGTGTGGGCAACATTGGAAGCCGCTCAGGGTGGCATCTTTCTGGGGGCGGCACGGGGTGCCTGCACCAAAATAATGGTGACATTTGTGCAATCCTTTTTTTATTTCATATTTGCTGATCAAGTTAATGATGTCATCACACTGAGTTGACCTCAGGTCGCCTCACTGGAAGCCTGGGTAGGGGGAGTGGGGGAATCTATCAAATAGCGCACCTCTAACTTTGCACAATATTAATGCAATTAGTAAAATTAGACAGACTATGAAATGATACAAAACGACAATTCATTCATAATCTGGGATTATATATTTCCACAAACATATTGTTGCATATTTTTCTGGTTTGTGTGAAATAGCTAAGAATAACAGAAAGCCAGTCTGCAAACCAACAAGGTGAATTTGTTTAGTTCTGACTCTTGATTGTCAATGTTGGGGGTGGGTAATGTACTGATGCTCGAGTGCCAAATTAACACAAATGGGTAAGAAAAGATTTTAACCATCAGGTAGTTTAGAAAATGGAAAGAAGAGGTGGATAAACATGCAAAAAGTAAAGGTATGTTGCTGTTTCACCTAGGGCTGTCAAAATTAACGGATTAACGCGGATTAATCCATCATCATGATTAATCTGATTAAAAATTTTAACGCAATTAACCCATCTGCAGCGCAGAATGACTCAAAATGCCTGAAATGTCTCTGTCAACCCATTTCAGGCAGTATTGGTGCGTTCCATTTGCCCTGGGAACTCGTATTCCGAGTCGTATTCCGGAGTTTTGAAAGCGGAAGTGAGAACATGCCCGCTCCAGTTTCTCGGAGATCCGAGAAATATCTCGGAGCAGCACAGAGGATCCCGAGTTCAGAATCTGAGATGACTGCGCCTCTTATCAACAGAAGGGAAAGTTGTAGTTTTATACTGTTTAAGCACTACTTCTCATTTGTGACTCATTAAATCAGTCGCACACACTATACCGTCCAACTTATCTGTGGACGTGTTGCTACGGAGTTTTATATGTAAAGCACCGCGCGTAATGTGTGATCAACTGATATTGCTAACAATGGCAATTAACCGGGTAGAATTGGATTTCATGATTAGTCGGATTATTTGTCGGATTTACGGTAGTTCAGGCTAATTGTAAGTGAACGAAGATAAAGACCATTTAAACTGAGGTATCTTAAATACGACAAGTTGTCCGGCTAAGCAAAAAATCTTGCTTTTTGATATGGGTCCATGGTATTGCACTTCTGTGGCAGATGTAATGCATCCGAGTCGTGTTGAAGATGTTCAATAAACATCTTAAGTGCATTTATATTCCCTTTTTTCTTGAGTCTGTTTGCTCATGCAAAATGAATTGTGATTAATATAGATTAAAAATGAATCATATTTAATCGTGATTAATCTAAATTAATCCACAGCAACCCTGTGATTAATCTGATTAAAAATTTTAATCGTTTGACAGCCCTAGTTTCACCCCTTTCTGAGTACAATATTATGCAGGTCATTAAATAGGTTAGTGTTATACTAGCCTGCTGGTGGTAGCACTGTCGCCTCACACCTCTGGGACCTGGGTTCAAGTCACCTTCAGGATTCTTTTTGTGGAGTTTGTATGTTCTCCCCATGTCATCATGGGGTTTCCTCCAGGTAGTCTGGTTGTTCCCTGCCTTGTGCCTATAGGCTCTGGACCCCCTGTAACCCTGAAGAGGATAAGTGGTTACAGAAGATGGTTGGATGGTAGTGGGACATGCAGAACAGTGACATCATGAGGTAGGACCCCTGTACCCCTAAGGACTCTCCACATGTTTTCCTGTTCCTGTCATTATATCTCCTAGAGAGTACTAACAGCACACTCCCTCCTCAAAATCCATGCCTTTAACCACTACCAGTCTACCGTGGACCTTGAGTTTAGTTTCACCCAGAAGTCCCATCTGGCTCCGTGTCCATGAGGCGCACGTGTTTGATGCAGCAGCCAGACTGTCTGAAGTGCTCCCTCTGCTGGCCATTCAAGCAAGCGGCAAGGCAGTCAACAGTAGGGTTGGGTATCCTTTGCATTTTTTCCTGATATAGATATCGGTGCCAAAACATTGCCTGTTAACAGTTAAGACAAAAAACACAAAACGAAGGTTGGCAGCATTAAAAAATAGCTTTTTTATTTCTAAGGCAAATTTGAACTTACAAATTAACAATAGGCTGTGACAGACATGGGGCAGGTCGAGAAAGGAAGGTGCCGATGATCTGACACATAAGGGGGTTTATTACAGAAACTAAATACACTGGGTAAAACTACATAGAAAAGAACCACAAAGAATCAGAACTGAAAAGGGGTAAGATGCTACTAACAGAACCATAAGATAAAGGAACCAAGCAGGGTCCAAAGACCATAACAACAAAACACAGGGGAACATACTAATAAAGAGCAGGGCAATGTGGAACAGAACCATGGGAAAAAATAACTACACTAAACACAAGAATCCAATATACACAGAAATGAAGCACAGGGCAAACTGTGTGATACAATGCCAGACTGCCAGAACTGAACACAGACAGGCACTAAAATACAGAGATAATGGGGACTAACATAAGAACTCAAAACAATCAACCAATCAGAACAGACACTGGAAACAGGACACAAGTGGAATTAACTAACAATTAATAAACACAGAACTGAGGAGCTATGAACCTGGGACCAGAGAAAACACTATACTAAGAAAATGAACATGAAACAAAAGAACAATGCAAAACCTGAACAGAACATGAGGAGAGTAACCAGAGACAAGGAAACTCAATACCTGCTGGCCAACAGGGGGGGAGACATGAAAGGTTGAGGAGGATGTGACCCTGACATAGGCCTATATTAACTTAACTCAAATATATAAATAACAATATAAAACACTTAGCAATGTTACATAATAAAGAAAACTTAACCCAACTACAATAATTTAACACTAAATAACTTAATACCTTAAATATAGAAATATAAATAAATACAAAAGTTAACAAATTTACATAACAAGCTAGTGTTGGGTGATTTTGAGTGAAATACAGGCATATATTAGGCAGTTAAGATATAGGCATAACCGTGTTTAATTGAGGTAGCTACCAGCTAACGGCAGGCGTCTGCTGACATCAGGGCGAGTGTGACGTTAACCAGCGATGGCACCTGAGGGGCGGTGATGCTTCTGCTGCCTGAGCACCAGAGGGCAAATATTTCAATCGACAGCTCTATGGAACCAAATCTGTCTCGTCACAATTTGAATTTTATATGCCACTGAAATTCTAACATTGAATATTTATGCATTGGAAATATGCATCAGATTTTTTTTGCCTCTGAATTACAGTCTTCAAATTTACTATAATGCAGTTTCACTGCTATTCACAAATTCACAATAAAACAAATTCAGGGTTTAAAGATACAAATTACAAAAAACTCAAGTTTCAAAAATTCAAAGAGAACATTTCAAAGTTGCTCCAATTCGTTGGTCCGAATTCACATGCAAAAATACGAGGTTAAAAATATGAGTTATACATCTGGGATACCAAGGCTGAGCAATAGAATCTGTGGGTGCAGCTGCTTGCAGTGCTGGCTTAAAGCAATGCATTCTGGTCCTGACACAATGCATCATGGTTAGATTTTTTTTTAATTCGGACCATCGAATTGGAGCAACTTGAGTTTTTTGTAATTTCTATCTTTAAACCCTGAATTTGTTTTATCATGAATTTGTGAACATGGAAAAATAGCAGTGAAACTGCATTATAGAAAATTTGAAGACTGTAATTCAGAGGCAATAAAAAATCTGATGCATATTTCCAATGCATAAATATTCAATGTTAGAATTTCAGTGGCATATAAAATTCAAATTGTGATGAGACAGATTTGCTTCCATTCAGCTCAGAGATTTAAGTGGCACTGAAATCTGTATTGCAGTACACTCTGGTACAGTGGCGTGCACAGACATTTTGGGGGGCAAGTGCTCCAGGGGGAAAAAAGGGCACTTTTTGCATATGTGGAAAACCTTTTCTTTTTATAATAAAAAAATCGCACAGGTTAAATGCAATTTGACTTTTATTTCAAAACATTCTCTAAAAATCAAAAATCACACCTACTAAAGACAGTCAAAGACATTAATTTCAATCTTACCAAAGTAGGACAGTAGTTGACGTTAGTTATGGAAAGGCTAATCCACAAAAACGGAGAAACGTCCATAATTCTATTATTCATAATCATGTCAAGGTTTTAGGTTTTTCTGCAGTTCCATCTCTAAAAAGTGTGATGTCTTCCCGTCACTGACTTCAGTTTGAAAACTTTGTATTTATTCACAGATTTCCGTGAGATCATCCTAAAATTTGTAACGAAAAATGGGCTCAAAAGAGCCCTCTGCCTAACGGCATGTAGCCTATAGCATAACGTGATATTTTCAATAGTGTATGCAAAAAGGTCGGAATTGATGGAGAGTGGGGTTGCCTAAATGGTTTAGGTTACATTTTAAATGTGTCGTTTTTTTGTTTATCCATATGGATGGATGGAGGGGGCAAGCTGGCAAAGTTTGTCATGTGCAGTTTCTGACAGGCTACTTCACAACAAAACAATTGCAGGTTGGTCTTAGAGGGCAAACAGAATAATTTCACTCGATTCATGGGTTACCTGACTGGTTGGGAAGGGAAAGAGCTGCCGTGTTGTCCGCCGTGGCTCCCAGTCGCTATAGTTAGCCTACTATGCCTACTCCAAGTAGTCCTATGTCATGCCGCTGCTACACGCCTCACAACAAATGAACTGCAAGCGTGTTCACGTGACACGGTGACAGTGAAAAAGCGACAGGGTTCGGGTGTCTTTGAAGAAGGGGCACAAATCAAGCCATTATTTTCACACCTTTTTAAATCGCGCAGCTTTAAAAAAAAATAAAAAATCACGTCTTTCAAAAGGGCACTTTTTTGGACTGAGGGCAAAAGGGCAAGTGCTTCAGCACCACCTCGTCTCTATCTGTGCACGCCAGTGCTCTGGTACATGCTAATCATATAGAAATATTGGCACCAATCATATTGCCAGTGATCAGTGCAGCCGGGACTGTGTAACCGTGTATGTAAGATGGGGATTCATTATCACCCTGTCATTGAAACACTTCAGAAAATGTAAAAGCTGTGTTTGTGGGGGGGTGTCCTGCTTTGAGGATTGATTATCCCCACAAA